TATATATATATATATATATATATTTGTTCATAATTTTATGACATCAAAATGTTATAAATGTAAATATCAAATTTGAGGTTTGATTTATAAGAATACATAAGAGCTGTGCGGAATGTATGTAAAATTTTTATAAATGTTTCAAAAATACAAATAAAATTATCATAATTTTAAAATAACTAGATAGAATATTCATTACTTAAATGAGGAAAATTTGCACACATAACACTTTATTCCTTGTATTTACATATCTATCATCTAAACTTTAATTTTTACATATATGCCATCTTAAATGTGTATTTCAACTATTTTTAAAATTAAAATAATGATATATTTAGTGTAATACCAAAGATTTATATGTGTCAGAAGTAAAGTTTAGAGGTTAAAACTAAATAAGACATAGGTGGCATGTATGTAAATTCCATTTTTATTATTTTAAAAATAGCATTTAAAATAATAAATAAAATTTACCAGTGGGTTAATTTTATAGACAATAAATTTAAAAAATACCGGCCGATGTTGCGGGGAAACCCTAAAATGAAAGGATAAGGGCGACCTTGTGAGGAGGAGAACAAGAGGGCAAGCTATTGCGCTGGATCTCTACCTCAACCTCCGAAAGGTATGCCCTTTGATGACTGCTTCGGAACTGTTTCTTTTGGATTTAGCTTAATTTGCATCGCCATTCTGCGAATTCGAAGCAGTCATCCTATGCTAGCTTAATCAGTTTTTCTCCGACTAAAGAATTACTTTATTGGGCGAGCGGTTGATTCCACTACTTAACATTTCTCTGTAGCAAACCCGTTGCTGTAATTTACTCTGTTGTTTTGTTGCCATTTCAACCGCTTTTAAGTTTCCTAATTTAATAAAAATGAAGACTCACTGAAGAATTTAGTCTCCTGATCACTTAGTGATCGACAAAATAATAATATTGGAGACTTATTTTGTAAAATGTGCAGATTTTATTTACTTTGCTTGCTGAATCAGTTGAGTGTTGAATGCTGATAATTGTTTAATTTATGGGTATAAAGAGCATTTATTATCTGTTATCAATTCTTACTGAGACCCCATAGAAAGAGAAAGCTCCTTGAAACATGGATAGAAGTTGTATAAAAATATGTATGAAAATCTATTTAATATATCAAACAACACAGCAAAACAGGAGTTGAGGGTGAGGATTCATAAAGTCAACCCAAATGGTTGGGATAAGGATAATATTGTTGATTATGGTTCAAATCGAGAGACCCGATCTCATTTACTTTTTTTTTTATAATTCTACAAAGGATATAAACTCATTTGATGGTGTGCTTTTTAGTTTTTACACACACACACACACACACACACACACACAAAAGGGCAGTTATAGTGAAATTTTTTATGTGATATTAAAGATTTGAGTAGTATGTATGTAAATATTAATGTTTAGGTGTTAGATATATAAATATATAAAAAATATGTGCTTTGTATGTAAATGCCGTTTAAAATATGGAGTAATGAATTCCGTTTACCGAGCTTTTCTGAGATTGGGAAATGTTATTGTTAGTTTTTTCTTGCCACTAAAACACTTGGCCCATTTGTGCATGAATTGTGCATTACTAATATGTATTTACAATGCAGCATTTAGACTATGATCGTGTTTATAGGCCGGCTTATATACTTAATACCAGAAGGTTTAGAAGCTACTGCATACACTTTAATGCATAAAATTTTAATGTGTTTGCAGTATATCAGACATTATGGTTGCTTCCTTCTCATTAATGGAGAATTCTTACTGGTGCTCTTCAGCACAATTCGAAAAGAAGAAGGCGAAACACCCCAGTAATCTCCAGCCTTATGATATGCCCCCCTTATATTTTAGAAAAGAAAATTGGGTCGGGATATGCAGAGTCATATTTGATCAAAGGAATATTTATATATATACATCTCAATTACATATCTAACACCAAAAAATTTAATCTTTACATGTATGCTAACTTGTCTATGCATGAAAGTGCATATTTCACTTTTTAAGAGTTATAATAGTGGTATTTTTTATGTGATACAAAACATTTGGTTGGTAGAAATGTAGAAATGTAGTTTTTAGGTGTTAGATACGTACAAACATAGGAATCGGGTGGTATGTACATAAATACCTCTTGATCAAAATGTGTTTTATAACCATTAAATTTTTCGTGAGAAAATTGCAATAAGAATTTTGATTGAGTGGTCATTGACCGCAAAATCCATTGTAATAATCAAATTTGAATGAGGGTATCCTGACTTAAAATTTCTCCATATTTTAATTTCTTTATCACCATTATTTAACTATCCTAAATCATCTCATTTAAAATGCAAGCAGAGGAATCACAGACGAGGAGTCCTTCCATCTCAGCATTTCAGGAAGGTTTACTTTGTAGACGTTTAACAGTTCTAGGCAGCGGCTTTTCATTGGTTTCTATTTCTTCTTTGCCACTAAAAGCTGAAGAGAAAAGTGGAAAGGAAGAAGAGGGTGATAATGGGGTTATAGGTGCAATTACATCTTTGTTTGATCCTAACGAGAAAACAAAGAGTGGAAAAGTGCTACCGAAGGCTTACGTGAAGGCTGCGAGAGAAGTAGTGAAAACTCTGAAACAGTCGCTTGAGGAAGATGATAAGAATGTTGCTAAATTTAGGAGAGCTGCTGATGCTGCAAAGGAAGCTATCCGAGAATATTTGACTGGTTGGCAAGGGAAGAAAGTGGTTGTTACTGAGGTATTTCTACATCACATGTCTTATGAATTTATACAGAACGAATATGTATATATATATATCTATATGTTGTTCTATTTTGGAAAAAAAGAATTCAGAGAAAAGAATTTTCTCAGAATATGCAGAGATAATTTTTAAAACAATTTTTTTTTTCCATTTTTTAGGGCCTCAATATCATTGCTTCATTTATTTTGATAGAAAGGAGAAATTTGTAAACAAATATATTTTTATATGTCTATGTATAAGAAAAAATTATAATTACGAAAGTTAATTGAAAAAATATATTAAATAATGAAGAAATATAATAGTAATAAATAATATATGTTCCTTTTATAAATAATTAGTATATATGATTATTTAAATTTGATAGCATGTTTTTATCTTTTTAAAACTTATTTATTCTTCATAGTTTGAGTCTCGCACCATTCATGAAAAATGTGATTGAAACACAGCAAATGAGCTGTAATAAGCCCCCAATCTTAGTTTTACAGTGATGTTGAGTAACATGACATTGTGGAATGTGAGGGTGGAGAGAGAGAGACAGAGTGGGTGATATAATATTTACTACCATAATAAACTCATTGATTTATGGAGTTCTTTTTTAGAGTTTAAAACTTTGTTTGAGTAAATCTAAAGCTGAATGCATAGAATGTAATTTTAGTAGTAGTAGATCTAGTGGCAGAGTTGTAACAATGGGTGATCAAATATTTTAGATATTTCAACTCTATTGTTCAAAGTGATGGTGGTATAGATGGGGATGTTTTTAGTAGAATTTGGATGGTTGAATTGTTGGAATGCATTGGGTCTAATTTGTGATAAATAAGTAATGCTTAGACTTAAAGGAAAATTTTATTAGATGGTGGTGAGACTTGCAATGCTTTGTGGCGCAGATTGTTGGCCTATAAAAGTGAAGCATAAAACTAAGTTAAATATTACTGTGGTGAGAATGGTTGGGTGGATGTGTGGCTTTACATGTAGAGACAGAATGCTAAACTAATATATCCATGAAAGGGTTAGCATAGCTCCAATGGCAGAAAAGATTAGAGAGAGTCGTCTTAGATTGTTTGGTTACATTAAACGTCGACCATCTGATGATCTTGTTAGGAAAGTAGATGTTTTAGTTTTGACTTATGTTAAGAAAGGCAGAGGTAGACATGAAAAGACCTGGACATGTTGTATAAAAAATGATCTTAATTTATTAGAATTAAATGAAAATATGACACTCAATAGGACGCAATGGAGAAAAATTATTCATGTAGCAGACCACTTAGTGGGATAAAAGCTTTTTGTTGTTGTTATTGTAATGATAAACTCTTTGTTTTGATTGGGAATTAAAGCTTAATCCGACAACATGATATTAAAAAATTTATGTATATTATGTACCTTATTGGATGTAGAGAACTTCACATACATATTAGAGAGTACCTTCATGATGCTTGTTATTATTATCTCATTGAGGGTCTTGATGGCAATTGGCAATGTTCATGCTAAATGATAGCCGAATGAACCCTAGTGCTTGTATGTCCATTAACGCTTACTCCTCTTGGTCGACTGATTGCATCCTTACTCATTTTAATAATTGATGGATTTTTCTTTGATACAACTATTCTTTTTTCTGCATCTTTCACAACTTGCTGTAAAGATTTCAAGTACAATACACAAATTTAAGTGATTTAGTGAGAGATTAGGTATTTTATTAAGCTTCAAAGGAGATACATAGAGAGAAGTTCTACTTATACGAATAAAGAGAAAGTTATCCTTTGTCTATGTCAATGGCTGAGATGGAAGAGGAGTACTTATTGTAAAAAACAAGGGCTAAACATTGAGAACAAATGTTGATGTTGCTTCTTCTTTTCTTTCCATGATTTTGATATGCTTGCTTCTTATATGGGTCTATACAATACATAGTTTAACTTCAACATTAATAATCAACACCATTGATAATTTTTAGTCCGTTGACATTATTCTAGGGCTACTAGAAGATGTTTAGGAAAGTTTTTAGCGAGAAAGTAGTTGTGGAATAGCGATGAAGTGAAATTAGGGGATATCAACGACGTTTGGAAGGGCGCATGACATGAAACCTGCTGTTGGACAAGTTGGTGGAGTTTAGTGGTTGCCAGACTGAAAACAACAGTTGAACGACAAAATGATAAGGTGTGAATAGTGAGAGGGTCCACCACCTGTTTCTAAGCATTATATAGATACAAAACTTGCAAAAGGAAGATGATACAACATTCCTTAGAGTAGAAGTCAGATAATATAATCTCGAAATATACCAAAACAAAACTAAAGTCCCCAAAAATATAAAAAACACACAAATTTGTTTCCAATAAAAAATAACCTAATCTGAAAAAAAAAAATGGTATAAAACAAAAATGAAAGAAATACACTGAAATAAAACAAAATAGGGCGACTCTAGCAACACTCATGCAACCCACGATCGCTTAGTTGCTTTTGTAATACACAAAATCCATATATATCAAGAGAATTTTGTTTCTACGATCTTACGGGCACGAGCTGCTCTCGCTTCATTCTCTCTGGGTTGGAGAGACTTCTTATTCTTATCTCGAAACATCTGGATCTCACAGCCTAATGCATTTTCCCTATAAAATGCCAAAAGAGATTTCCAAATTAACGGTTCGCCACTCTTATCTGGCCATTTGCCTGTGAGTGCGCTGTTAAACTAATCTGGAATTCCATAGGTTCTTCTAGAAATATCCCAAAAATATTTCATTCATGTTTGAAGTGTTGACACGCTGGACTACTATCAATAGTGGCAACTTAGAGAGTAAAGAGAAGGTTAAAGAATCCTAAAACCTCTAGTGAGGGTTGCACTGCCTCAGATACCGACTTTCACGTGAAATTATCTTCTAGCATTATCAAGGCTAGTTTTAATGACACAATTCTCATAGCCTGTAGAAATATGGCATGGGCCACTAAAGTTCCTGAATTTGTTTGAATACCCATCATTATTGACTACTTCAAAGGCAAAAGTACAATATGCTAACCGTTCTTTATAAATGAGTAGGTGCTTTCGTAGTCATCATGAAGTGTAGACTTGCACAAACAACTCAAAAGAATGTGACATGCTTTCATACACGACATCACACCAAACTTAATCTTGTAGCTTCTTGTCAAAGTTTTGAGAAAAAAATAGGCCGAAATCTATATAAGCTCGATGTCTTTTCCCTTTGCTTTCATTCCATTAAATAATAATCTTACAATCTATTTTAGGTACAAAATATTATCCATAATCTATTTTAGGTAACCTAATAATACATATTCCTAATCTAAATATTCAACTAAAAGAGAAATTAATCAGAATAAAGATATTGGAAATAAAGAAGCTTCTAATTATAGAGAACTCTTAATTTAGCTATCTGATTTTCATCGTTCCTGATTGACACCCCCCTCAAATTTATACTGACTGATCAGGAAACATCAATTTGCCAACAAGAAACTGATAACATTGTCGGGACAAAAAATCCTCAAGTTGTCGAAATCGAGAGTGTCGAAGTATGAGATTATCGAAGCCTAAGAATGTCAAAGCACTGAAAGTGCCTAGGCCTGAGAGTGTCAAAGCTCGAGGGGACGAAGCCTGAGAGCGCCGAAGCCCAAGAGTGTCGAAGAAACTGATAACATTGTCATGACCAAAAATCCTCAGTGGCGAAGCCTACAATCCTTGAGTGCGACGAAGAAGCCGAAGTCGAAGCGGACGAAGCCGAAGCAGAAGAAGCAGTTGAAGATGTCGCAGAAGCATCAATGGCTAGCGAAGGATATTCGAAGCAGACGAAGCGAACAAGATTGCAGTTTGCGGATGAGACTTGAATTGCAGACGAGATAACAAATGGACAGGATCGCAGATTGCAGCTGGAATCAAACGCGTGAGACGGAATCAGACGCAGGAGATGGAAGAAGGCGAATCGAAGGCGGACGAAGCAATCTCAATTCTCAACGAGCGAAAATCCTTAGATGGGTGAATCAAGGCAAAGAAATAGTTCATCCCTTCCCGCAAAAAGGCCGGTGGGAAGTGAGCCTTGACGGTCCTCCAATAACTACCGGTGGTTAGGGCAAAATTTTGACTCTGATACCATGTCAAATTTTGGAGAAAAATAGACTGAAATTTGAATAGGCTCGATGTCTTTTCCCTTCGCTTTCATTCCATTAAATAATAATCTTACAATTTATTTTAGGTACAAAATATTCTACATAATCTATTTTAGATAACCTAATAATACATATTCCTAATCTAAATCTTCAACTAAAAGGAAATAAATCAGAATAAAGATATTCGAAATATGGAAGCTTCTAATTATAAAAAACTCTTAATTTAGCTGTCTAATTTTCATCCTTCTTGATTGACACTTCTCTCATAGAAAATTCGAGGAGACATCTTTTTTCAACTATGATCTTATTCCCCTTCTTCAATCAAGATAGAGAATAATGTTGTGAACATTTTTGTGTAGCCATATTCAACTTGTCAATTATTTGAGTTGGTTTTATATTTTCACAAATATGACCATCTATAATGAGGTTGCACGCATTTTCTTTCACGGTGTAACAAGTACGGAAGATAGTGTGTCAAAGCCATTATTGCTCTCATAAGTTCATTCTGAAGAACCCGTTGAATTACTCATATATCGGCCTCATCGACTGGAAGCTAGTACTCCTCATTTGCATTCTCACATTCTTCGGTCTCTTATGCTTCGTCTATGCTTTTCACTGCTCTTTACTCAATGAAAGATATCACCCATATTATAAATTTTTGTGATAGCTTTAATTTAACACTTTATAATAGCCTCTATTTATGTTTTTAGGGAAGCCTACATCTAGTACTTCATGATAGCCATTAATTAGAACTTTTATGTTATTGTGGAGAGAGTTTATTTCCAAAAACTAAAAAAATTGACTCCACACTCACCACTTAGCTCGTCCCAAATTCTCCCATGCTTGTAACATAACCTCTTTTTTCTTGTGATAACTTATACTATTTCTGTCCTGCAATGTGCTTCTTGTCCTGTGGCTTCACTTAAAATCATTCAACAAAAACTCATATGATGAAAAAACTTGTTTTGTGAAATCTGTTTTGAGTGTATTTTTTATTTATTTATTTACGGGAAATTTACATGCATATCATCCAATTCTTATGTATTTACATATCTAACAACTAAAATTTGCTTATCTTTAATATCAAATAAAAAATATCACCATCTTTAGAAGTGAACTACGCCTTGTCATGCTCTAGACATGTGCTATACATGTAAAAAAAAAATTGAAGTTTATTTATTAAGATGTGCAAATACATAGGAATTGAGTGGATATGTATGTAAATTTTCCTTTGTGTATTTTTATATTTCAGGAATCATATGCTGCACTGGAAAAGGCCATAAGATCACTGGCGAACTTCTACTCGAAGGCTGGCCCTTTTGCTCCTCTTCCTGATGAGGTGAAGTCGAACATTTTGCAGTATTTGAATACCGCTGATGCTAACATATGAGGAATTGAACATGAGGATGTATATTTGATGGCTATTTATAAGAAGGGGGCATTTACATACATACCACTCAATTCCTATGTATTTGCATATTTAACAACTAAATTTTATTTTTTATATTTAAATTTTATTTTTTATATTTACTATGTATTTGCATATTTAACAACTAAATTTTATTTTTTATATTTATACCATCCAAAAATTTCATCTTATAAAAAATATCTATTTTAAGTTTTAAAAAGTGAAATACACATTAACATGTTAGTTCATGTATATGTATGTATAATTTTTTTGTTTATTTATAGTAGTTTAGGTGCTAGATAGGTAAATGCTTGAGTGATATCTATGTAAAGCTTAATTAAAAATTTTATATATTTGTAAAAAAAAAAGAATGAAAGATTGTTCATGAACTAAAAAAATAAAAAATCATTGTTAAACTCGGATTTTTCATTTGAGGCATGCTAAGGATTGGAGTGATAAGAGCCTAGAAATAGAGCAGTACGAGGATATTGTTGCTGCCTTCTCGAGGGTAACCACCACTCGTCGAGAATAGTTAATGTCTTTTGTATGCCCCTCTCATTAGCTACTGCAACTCCTTACTACGGTCATCATGACAAAATAACACAATGACATTCATCAACTATGACTTATGTCACCAACTATGACATATGTGGTTAATTGCTATTACGACTTCCAACTTCAATCTTTGTGGCCAACCTAAACTAAACTTATGTTGCTAATTGTGACATATGTTGCTAAATTCTACTATAGCATCCAACTGCGACCTCTATGACTAACTAATTATCTTATAATTATTAACTACAACATATGCGACCAACAAATACCTGTGGGGCTAAGTGTTATTGCAGCTACAAATTATGACCTATGTTACCAACTAAAACCTATGTGGCTAACTTTTACAACTTTCAACCACAGTCTCTATGTTCAATTGACGCTACTGCTGTCTCCAACAACGATTTCCTTGACCAACTAACGCTATTGCAGTCTCCAGCTACAGCTTCCGTGACCAACTAACATTATTGTCATGGCTAACAATATCCTATGTCACCAACGACCATGTCATTAATTAAAATATAAGTCATCAAGTATTATTACAACTTCAATTACAACTTATGTGGCCGACTGACACTAATATAAATAAACTGTAATTTATGTAACCAACTACTGTGACATTTTCCAATTGCAATCACTGTAGCCAACTACAACTATTACAGTCACGGTCTATGATCAATGTGACCAATTAATGTTCTTAGAATTGAATTTTCCATTTGCAATCTATGTAGCCAACTACAACTATTGTGGCCACAGTCTACGATCTTTGTGACATATTATTATTATTACAATTGAAAGCTACATATATTATAGCCTAATTATGACCATGATTGTTAACTAATATTGTGTTTGATTATCTACTATGTAATTTCATATTTCTCTAACGCAAGATAAAAATAAAGTTATTTACTTACAATCATATAGTTGATTATTTTGATTGAGCAAAGGCCCGTGATAGTTTTCTTTTATAGTAATTTTCCATGTAAAAACTCTTTTTTTCTTCTCCTTTTAACGCCAATAATGCGTTAAATTGTGACTCTACTGTTGAATCTTTCGTCGCATAAAGATATTTAATGCATTTAATCATTTTTTGTTCAATGTATAACTCAAACATTTCAAAAGTAAAGATTAAAAAATTGAAACATAGCTATTAGACATGTAAATACATAAAAATCTTTATTTTAACTTGTACAACTTTATTTACACCTAGACTTCATAAGATTATCATAACTTTTTAGTTAAAAGAAAACATTATATGATATTTATCTTTAGTCAAAACAGCCATCGAATATCATTAATTATTCAAATGTCCACTCTCACAAAAGCTAAGCCGTAAATATGCTTCCCTCCCAACTACCGCAAAACATATAAAACTAGTGCAAAATGTAGCTCAAAACATTTCCTACTTCGTCTTCAGATAAAATAATCATTGAATTAAGCACCATTTGTCTTCTCGTTGAGTCGAGCCGCCGCCGTGATCGAATCTGCTACACCGCCCGCCACCGTACTCAAATCATCTCTGTTCCTCATCTCCGCTCCCACCACCTTTTCTGCATCCTCCCTCGTCACCTCTTTATCCGTCCCCAGCTTCTCCGTTGCGTTCTGTAGCCACCACAACACAGAAAAATTTAAAGAAGAACTAGACGTGATGCAGTGAAAACGCTTCAAAGACTTACATGAAGCACATCTCCAACAGTAATTTTATCCTCCTCCCTCGCAATCTTAGAATTTATCTCCGCCGCCGATTGTGCTGCCGCCGCCACCCCATGTGGTGCTGTCATTTTGATCGCCCTCACCTCAGCCGCCTGTATTGCCGCTGCATCACTCTGCTCCACCGGCTTATCACCCTGCGAAAGCGCCGCTGCCTCCAGCGCCTCGCCTATAGTTATCTTTTCATTGTCCTCTGTCCCGACCACGGTCTCTGTTCGGTTTCAGTTAGATATAATTCTCGCCAAAATGTCATTTTGGAGTGATCGGAATTACCTATAGTTATCTTTTCCTCATCTGTCTGATCTGACTTCGGCACGGCGAACCTGACGATGGTCTGGCCGGCGACTCTCTCGCTGACTATACAGCTGCCGCCGGGAATCTCTGTTTCGGTGACGGTGACTCCTTGGACGGCAGGGTCGGCGGTGAAATCGCCATGGGCGACATGGCCGGAGAGCTCATTGATAGTGGCGGCGGACTGCATGACGGAGGCGGCGCCGCCTTTGTGGGTCTTGCCGGTGAGCAGGGTCTCGGCGGTCTGCATCAAGGCCAGCAAGCCGGCGCAGCGGGGGCGGATGGGTTCTCCGGCGAGGTCACCTTGGACGGGGAACAGGTCGCCGTATTTGATGGGCTCTTCGCGATAATCGGAGGGGCTGCGGGGCTGCTGATTCTGGTTCATGGTGGGAGTAAACAGAGCTCCGGCGATCTGGATTCTGTTCAGGGGATGGTGTTGGTTGGATGGGAAATGCGGTGTGGTTTATTTAAGGCGGAGAAGGTGAGGTGGAGGTTTAACACGTGGGATTGTGATGACACGTGGTGATTTTTGGTTTGTTTTGAGCGACAGATGGCGGTGTAGAAGTTTGATTGAGGTATTGCGTGTCATTTTTAATGGATTTTTTTTTTAGGACCAGATAATTTTTTTTTTTGTTTTACAGCTCATACGCTGAGGTATCATATATTCACAACTACAACTTTTTTTTTTTTTTTTTTTTTTTTAACAAATTTTTTGATGAGGATGTTTTTGAAAATGAGATAAAGAGAGCACTATATCACCTCCCAAAAAAACTCTTTTGGGTGATGACAGTCTAGGACTTAAATATTACTTTTCGACCCTACATCTATCCAATATAATACTTTTTGTCCGTAACATTCTCCTCCACCCAATCACGTGATGCCCTCATCACGGATCAGCTCTACTGATGGTCTCACTGGTCATGGAGAGTCCACACACATGACAGACAATAATCTACTCTGATACCACTTGTCACATCTCAAAAGAGCTCTTCAGGGTGGTGGGTAGCCCAAGACTTAAATACTGCTTTTCGGTCATACATCATACATCTAGCCTCTAGCCGATGTGAAAATTTTTGTCCGTGACATGTAGCTCAATTATGTGTATGTAGGATAGAATGGTTCACATCATAGTATTTATTTTGTTGTTTAGGCGTCTGAATAATGAACCTAATGTGTTTTCATAAAAATAAGTGATTTTTAATTAAAAAAAATGAGAAATTAGATGGTACGTATGTAAATCTTAGAAAATGGTGCATTTAAATTTCATGGCGCTCAATTCCTATGCATGTTTTACCTTCCTATGCATGTTTTACCTCTCTAGCACATGAATATCACTTTTTTATATTTATATGAGCTAGAATTTTCAAATCACATAAAAATATCCTTTTTTTTTTCTTTTAAAAAGTGAAGTGCACAATTTTCATATACAAGGAAGATTACAAATATAGAAAATTAAAATTTAGATTTTGGGTATTGATATGCCACCAATAAATATCCATAATTTGATATGCATCTTAAGTCACGATAAAAGTCTCGAGGCAATTTTTCATCAAGAAATATTCATAATTTGATTAAAACTCATTTAAAGTTTTGATTTCAGCAAACTTATGATCAAGTCCAAGTTAAATCAAGCTAAAATCAAGCCATTAAATTACTTTGAAAGATTTTCAAACATAATTGGAATGTCAAAGAGATGTCGAATATGACATGCTTATAGATAAATCGAGTGTATCGACAAGACAAATCCAATGAGTCATAGACCACTCAATTATGACATCATTAAAGCAGTCAAATGTCCATCGATCATGGGGAGAGTTGTTTGAATTTGTTCCTTATTTGCAACCCAAATTCTATAAAACAGTTCCCCCTCATGAAAGGGAATCTACACCTTCTTCGGGCAAGAGAAGTCTGGGGCTTGTAGAAGAGAGGGTTGCAGTCTTGCATCCTACGCAGCAGATCCAGCTAACTCCGCTTGCTGCTACTGCGTCAGCCTGTCGCTACTTTTGGTCGTCACCGCATTCCACCGATTCTGGCTGTCGTTGCATTTGACCAACTTCGGCCGCCACCACCTTGTGCCGCCACAGGTTCCGATCACCATCGTCTCCGGTCGACTTCGCTGCTTTTGGTCGCCACTGCTTCCGGCTACCCCCGCTTCGAGCAACCGCCACTTCGAGCAACCGCCACTTCCCTACCGCAGAGCAACAAGTCATACACACTGAAATTGTAACCCGAGAAACTGTAATCATTCCCGCCTGTGGGTCAATGCGTTGCAGTTCAAGCATCCGGACTGATGTATGAACGGTCGATCATAAATGATTTTTCGATGGTAACATCCTCAAGATATAGAAAACTTGGATTAATGTAACAATTACATCAATAATCAAAGCAATAAATCACCAATAATCCCCACAGGAGCATCTGCAATCTCTAAATCTATGAAACCTAACATTATCCCTCACTATAATCTCCCTCCCAACAATCCCTGATACGAACTTGATTGCCTCATGGCAATCTCCACACACCCTCAGGTTCTTGTTGATCCGTATCGCCATCCCCTGAGGGATGCAGAGCAGACCAAAGGCCAGCGCCAGCTTCTCGCTGTGCTGATAAACCTCCGATTCCTTCTCTTCATCCTCCAGCTCATATAGAGCAAACCGAGTGTCGGGAGTGTAGCCGGCGGCCGCCATTCTCCGGCGGAGATCCGCCAGTAGCAAGATCCGCCAGCAGCAACTGTATCTCAGCATTCCTCTCATGCCTGGTGTCCTTCGCCTGAAACACATGAATCTCGTTCTTCCAGGTTATCCAGCTGCAGCCGGGCTCTTTCTTGATTCCCACATCCTTCATCTCCTTTCTTACCGATATGGATTCCTCCCACCTTCCAGCCGAGGCAAATATGTTAGAGAGCAGGACATGATTGCCGGAATCATGGGGATCAAGTTCAAACAGCTCCTCTGCTGCTATTCGGCCCAGCTTCTCCTTCCCATGAATCCTACAGGCATTAAGAAGCGCCCCCCATACTGACACAGATGGCTTCATCGGCATCTTCCTTATAATCTCATACGCCTTCTCCTCCATCCCCGCCCTTCCAAGCAAGTCCACAACACAGGCGTACAGCTCATTCCTCGGCTTTATTCCATATCTCTCCTCCATCTTCTCAAACAGCTCCATTCCTTCCTTCAATCTCCCTCCTCTCGCACAAGCCGACATCAGACTCACCAGAGTAACATAATTCGGCTCAACTCCACCTCCCCTACGCATTTCATCAAATACTCTGAGAGCCACAGAAGCGTTCCCCTGTGCCGCGTACCCGCTGAGCATCGCATTCCACGTGACCAAGTTCCTCTCGGACATTCCATCGAATACTTGTTCCGCTTCCTCAATGCTCCCGCACTTGCCATACATGTCGACTAATGCGCTTCCGACGAAGATGTTTCCGTCGATGCAGGATCGGACCGCCACGGCGTGAAGCGACAGGCCGAGGTTGAGGCCAGAGAGACCAGAACAGGTGGTGAGAATGCTCGAGAGCATGAAATCAGTGGGAATGAAGCCTTTTGCCCTTGTTGCAAGGTAAAGATGGAAGGCCTCTTCTTCTTCGGCGTTCTGCGCGTGAACGACGATGATGGAGCACCATGAGACGTCGTTCTTGGTGCTCAAGCTATCAAAAACCTGCCTTGCTTCAGCCACGCAAGCGCATTTTCCATAGAAATCAACCAGTGCGTTTCCGACTGAAACATTGGTGTCGAATCCGAATCTTATGATGAAGGAATGGAGCTGAGATCCGAGCCAGAAATACTCCAACGAGGCGCAAGCGTTCAAAAAGGCGCAGAAAGATACCTCATTGGGATTCTCAGCAGCCGATCGAAGGCGAATGAAGGCGCTCACAGCAGCTTCGGGAAAACCATCTAAAACCGCATTAGTCATAACTGCGTTCCAAGCGACTATAGTCTTGCGAGGCATTTCATCGAACAGGTGGCGGGCGTGGGAAAGAAGACCCGTCTTGTGATACATATTGACGGCGGCGGAGATGACAAAGGCATCGGAAATGAGGCCTGATTTAAGCGAAAAAGCATGGAGCTGGAGGGCGGTGGAGGGGCAGCGGAGGGAAGCGGCGGCTTTGAGGAGGGAAGGGAGGGTGAAGTCGTTGGGGCGAAGGGAGGAACGGAGGAGGAGGGGGAAGAGGTTGAGGGCGAGGAGAGGGCGGTTGTTTTGGGCGGCGCCGGAGATGAGAGCGGTGAAGGAGACGACGGAGGGGGAGGGGTCGAGGGAGAGGAGGAGGAAGGCCGGAGAAGGGAGGTCGAGCTTTGCGTACATGTTGATGAGGTGGTTGGAGAGGAAGGAAGGTACGGGAGGAGGGTAGAGGGATTTGATGATCTGGGCGTGGGTGGAACGGCCGAGGAGAAGGGATCGGGAGGAGACGGCGAGCTCGACGGCGCCGGCGAACGCCTGTGGGCCGGTGGCGAGAAGGGAAGCCATGGGGTCATGGCGCGGGAATGACAAGGAGGAGGGAGTGCTTCTCGAGCCAATGAAGTTGGAGATTAGTTAATATGTAATTGTTATTGTTAAAAATGAATAATTCTTAATCGGTTTATTATTTAAGAATTAATCAAGTTGATGCGTGCTAAAAAATTCACGACGGTAGAGTAACAAACAAATTATCGTCTTAACATTGTACTATCGTCTTAACATTGTACGAAAGTTCAACATACACACAAATGGAATAGAAAAAAACGGTGATGACTTCAGAAGTTTTTACATGGAAAACCCGTAAGGGAAAAATCACGGGATCTGACCCAGTTGCAAAAATTCACTATTGATTGATGATTACAGAAATCCTTTCTCCCATTGACGGAAAAGTGTAATTATATTTTTCAGATTACAATATCGACTGACGGAGTCTGGCTGGTAGTGGTCGATGACGGTAGGTGGAGGTGGACGACGGTCGGCGGTGGTTGATGACGGAGGTCGGCGGTGGTCGACGACGATTGGTGGTCATGTTGAGCTGCAGCTTCTCCTCAAGACGTCAGGCTATCTCTAGACTTCCTTCCCTCTCATGAGAGAATGTGGCTCTATTTATAGTGTTCTGGGTGCAATTAATGCAGGAATATGAACCATTTTGATCGGACGGCCCGGAGAGCTTCCCTCGATCATACAACGTTTAATGGACATTTGAGTGTCTTAATGATGTCAGAATTGAGTTTTGGGCTCGTTGGATTCGTCTTTTCGAGCCACTCGATCTGAGTATAAACTTGTCATATTTGACAGTCGTTTGATTTTCCAAATGTATTCATAAATCCTCTAACTGTGGTTTAATGACTTGATCTGGGCTTGATTTGACTCAGATTAAGTTAGTTTTTATATTAGTAGGCTGGTCTCATCAAATCGGTCAGTTTGACTATAAGTTTGCAGAAATCGGGGCTCCGGATGATTTTTTTTATCAAGATTTGAATATTTCTTGTTTAAAATATCATCTCAAAATTCATGTCATGCCTCGAGATTCATGTTGGATGATGAAAATTTGTTGGTGGTGTATCACAATATTGACTATGATCTATGTCAATATAGTCTGATTACTATTTAGATTATTAAGATATAAGCTAAATTAATTAGCTATTAATTATTTAGGGTCCGTTTGGCAGGTTATTTGGTGCGCAATTGGCCTATTTGGTTAACTGCTTTTTGACCGCTTATATTTTTTTAACACACCTAGGTGCGGTGGCAACTTTTTATTAGCGGTCTGATTTTTTTAAAAAAATAAAAAATTTATAATAATTACCGCACCTAGCTTATTAGCAGATTATTTTTAATTAACTTATTAACAGATTATTTAATAAGCTGTAGCTGCCCCAAACAGACCCTTAGTAAATGTTCATGTGCTTAATTATTCATAATTAATTAAAAATGTTAGTAATTGCATTTTTCTCATTTAAAATAAACTGCATGTGGGTTGTAGGAAGATAGAGTTTAAGAACATGAACTAATTTACTGGAATAGGTATCTTAAGGAATCTGATATGCGCATCACTATAGATAGATTCTGATACTCTGCATATTAATGAGCAAATAACTAATGGTAGAGATGCTCAAGCCAAAAATAGAAGACCGGACGAGTCTGTGATATTATTGCATGAAAATATTGCGAAATAGAGATTTCGTGGTTATCACATAAATATATAATCGCAAACAAGCATTGCATGAGTGAGGAAAAGAGTTAGTTTTAGCTGGTGGACTAGTTTGTACTCTCGCAATTTGGTTGTAATTAGGGGTGTAAACGAGCCGAACACGAGCGAGCCCAGCTCGTTTTTATTTCGAGCTCAAAAAGTGTGTTCGTGTTCGACTTGTTTGCTTGGCGAGCCGAACAAGAGTTATTCACGAACAACGACTCGTTTTGACAACCTTAATCATGATGTTAAGGGTTATAACAAGATTTAAAAATTATTGTTTTATTAAAACATCTTTTGAAACTAATTTACTAATTTTTATTTCATTCTCTTAATTAATACTTTTAATTGATTATAATTCTTTGTAGCATTGCAGTGGATTAAGCTTTTTTAAATTATTACTCATCAATGTATGTATGTATATATATTAAGAGAACCTCACATGGAAGAATGCAAGGAGCATCCTACACATGAGGGAATATCATTAGAGCAAAAGGAGAATTATAAGGAGCTGACAAAAGGGAGACTCAAACAATCTCCCTCTAAAAGAAAAGCAAGAGACAAGAGAAGGATTCGATTCAAAACTTTATATATATATATATATAATGAGTAGTATTTCAAGTCAAAACGAGCTGAACACGAACGAAACAAGTTTCTTAACGAGTCGAACACGAGCCGTTTGACAACCCTAGTTGTAATTCAGGATGCTCTTAGGTGGGCGGCGGTGGTGCAGTGCGGTATGGATCATGGCGTTTGGTAAAATAATTTTAATGTTGTCATTGTCTGGCCCCAAGCCCCAACTGCGGAAAATAGGGATTGTATTAGGTAGTCGAAACTCAGCGTAATTTTTTTCTCCAAAAATCATAACATGAATCTTTTAATGGAGAAAAAAGATTCATTTAGTAGACCATACTTAATGGGATATAGGCTTGTTGTTGTTATTGTTGCCGCTGCTCAAAAACCTATAGTGAAAATAATTGCATTTTACAAATTGGCCCAAGTGCGTTGATTATTAGAAAGCTGCGGTCAAATTTTTTAGAATAGCAATAAATAAAAATTGTAATAGCCAAATAATTTTTTGAACATCTTCTTTTACATCAATTTCAGATCTATCTTTCAAACAACTACAATAACACCAAACAAACCCTCAGTTTAATTGAGCGAAGTTGACTCAAGAATCAGTTTTGTGTTCCGCTTGACAAATGGCTCAACTTAAATTTGATGTTCAAGCTAAATTTGGCTAAACCATGGCTTGTTAACTCACATCCTACTCCTTTACAACAATATATTAAAGTTTAAAAATGTTAAATATAAATTAATAATAATAAATAAATGGTTTAGTTTACCTTCTTATCTCAAGTGATTTTTTCTTATTCATCACAAAATTATTTTACATGAATTAATATTCTTCTTTTTTAAAAATAAATAAGTTGACTCATGAGCTGAATGATTTTGAGGCACAAGAATGAATTTCATTGATAAATCAAAACTCAAATCATCTACACCTCCTAGCTATAATGTTGCGCACATTAGCAAAGGCAAGGGCATACTAATTGTGTTAACAACAATACATTTGCATAAGAAAAGGTAATCAATCATTCATTCAACAACACAGGATGAAAAAATATCAAGCTAGCTGCTTCAGAGATGTTTCTTCAACTGAGGTAGCATAATATAAAAAATGAGGAATTAAACCCATCACATATGCCAATATATATTCAAAGATTGATCGACTAACAGACCCCCCTTCCAATTCATGTGCAAGTTCTAACTGAGATTCGAACCCCCGACCAGAGGTTCTTATGCCAAAGGCCCAAAGCCACCACCAATAAGCCAAGGCTTGCACGTGCGCACACACAATATATACAAAGGAAAATTTACATACATGCCACTTAATTCCTATGTATTTATATATATAATCTCACCTAAATTTCAATTTTTATATATATACTAACTATATATACCACCTTCCCAATGCATGAAAAGTTGCATTTCACTTTTTAAGAGTTAAAAAAAATGTTATTTTTAATGTGATAAGAAAGATTTTGTTGATATAAAAGTTAAAAATAAAAAATAAAAGCAAATTTTGATGAAACAATAAAAGCAAATTTTGATGTTAGATCTGTAGATACATAAGAATTGTGCGGCATGTATGTAAATGTCCCAAAAAAGGGCAGCACCAGCAGCTTAAAATAGCCATTCCATGAAATAACAACGTTCAGACTAAACCACATCATTGTCCCAAACAAATTAATCCAACAAATGGACCCAAAAGATGCAAAATAGTAACCGAATACCAAAACAAAATATATGTGAAATTGAAGTGCATTGAATCCAAATTTAGAACCAAATGAAAGCAACAGAGGTGCAAATCACGCCAACATTCCATGAATCTACAAGTTTTACACCATAAGAAAAGGTAAAAAGGGATAATTAGATGCAAACCACCACAAACATTGGATATTTACAAATTAATCAGCCAGATAATTTTTTTGAATTGCGGAATCGATGCATTTCGTGTGTTGCGATCGAACTATTGAGAATTTGATTATAATGAAAAATATGGGTTGGGTTTTACCATGAATTTTGATACTTGAGTGAGAATTTAAGAAATGGATGTAAGAGGATGGTTGATTTCTAAATAGCAAGTTGCGGGGGGTCTGTATGTAATTGCCCCTAGTAAAAAATGCATAAATTACTCGAGTTGATGCATACATTTACTGAATGTAGATTTTGGTTTAAGAAATAAACACACTTCCCATCATCTACCACTGCCCTTCATAAAGTTAAATTATATATTATCAATTGCAATCGAACCTTAAGCTCTGTCGTGCAATTTTAGTTGAGAGTACTCCTCGATCATTGATCTTGTTAATGAGGGCCTCAGAGAGTCCAAAGCGGTCTGGAAATGGCGATCATGAACAGTATCAGCAGTGATATCTTCCCTAAGAGCAGCCATGCCTGCTTCCCTGCAAAGTCCTTGAAGATCTGCTCCGGTGAAGAGATCAGTCTTATCTGCTATCTGTGTAAGGTCTACGTCTGCTCCGAGATTCATCCGCCGTGTATGGATGCGCAGAATTTCGCAGCGGCCATCTATGTCTGGCGGCGGTACATATAATACCTGACCAAGTGGACCGAATGGAGTTAGGACACATGGTTATATGAATCTAAGAAACATGCATATGAGAAAATGGTACTATACATACGGGTTTGAATTATTTGGTCAAAACCAAAAATATAGAAACTAATCACACAAATTTGGTTGATTTGATTTACTTTCAAAATTATATTTTGATTTTTGATTTTTAAAACCTCAATCTCTAGTTTTCGGTTGTAAAATTTATTGTTGATATTAAGATTTTTAATGTTATAAGTGTTTTTGATATGTTTAAAAGAATTTTTTTGAAATGAAAAAAAAAATAATAGAAATGATATCTCTTGAAGACTAAATTTTTGTTCGAAAGGCTTAAATAGACATCTCGGAAAAATGGTAGAAATATTTTAGAAGCATTCACGGTGGCCTGACTTTGAGGTGAATAACAAAGAACGTAGAGTCATAATGAATTTTGTTATTACTAATCTTTTATTTAAAAAAAAGAGATAAGCATATTATCAGTTATAAGGATAGATCTAATAAATTACAAATTGATTATTTTTTAATGAGAAAAATAAATCATCGAGATCATAAAGTAATTCCAAAGTAAAAAAATTTAACTACCAACATTGATTATTGATTTTAAATTTTAAGATAAACGGTAGGAATATGAAAAGTATAATGAAATATAATCATAGAATTAGGGGAGCACTTAAAAGACAAATAAAATTATTTTTATAAATAAATTTTAATATTTTAACATTTGAGATGTTCATAAAGAAACTAATATTATGTGAAAAAAATTTAACGAGTATTATTAAACAAGTTACACAAAAAATGCTTGGAAATCAAAAAAGAAATTCTTATGAATAAAAATAGTTGATGGGGAAATAAAAATGTGTAAGTAAAAATAAAAAATAAAAAGTTATGTTATAAAAATCAATTTAGATAAAAAAAGCTTGAAATTTGGAAAAAAATATAAAATAAATCGTAAAGAGTCTAAGAGAACAATTTGTGATGCTAAAAATTCTATTTTTAGCGATCTTTAAATTAAATTAAATACTAAAAAGGGTGAAAGATATATATATATATATATATAAACTAGCCAAACAAGGAGTTAAGAAAATAAAGTTCTGAGTGTACTACTAAAAAAAAATTCTTAGAGGAGGATGTTCAACATAGGTGGGTAAGATATTTTGATAAAATCTTCGAGATTGTAAAAATACAATAAATTCTAGTGAATTTGAAATAATAAATAATAACAAATCTTTTTACTTCTAATGTCACATTAGTAAAACAAAAGTTAAAGAAACTTTAAGAAAAGGAAGTGTTAAAAAGTAGAACTTAATGTTATTCCAATAGAAGTGTATAAATGTTTAGAAGATCTGAACATTTCTTGGCTTACAAAATTTTTAATATTATTTTAAAACTAAAAAAAAACATCAGTTGAGAAGAGAGAATATATTGATTTCTATTTTTAAAAATAAAAGGGATGCACATGAGTGTGCAAATTATTGAAGAATTAAATCAATGTGGCGTACATTAAAATTATGTGAGAGAGAGAGGGAGAGAGTAATTGAATATATGTTGCAACGTGATATAAAAAATTCTTAAAATCAATTTGGATTTATGTCGGACAAGTCTATCATGGAAGATATCACTTATTGAGAGCTTTGATGAGAAAGAACAGAGTAAATAAGGAGAATTTACATATGATTTTTGTTGATATAAAAAAAACTTGTGATAAGATTCCAAGAATTTACATAAGATTTTTGTTGATATAAAAAAAAGCTTATGATAAGATTCCAAGAAATTATTTTTGAGAGTTCTTAAAACAAAAGATGTTAATACTACTTATATGCTTTATTTTATCTCCCTCCTATCTTGTCATTTCTTCTTCTTCTTCTTATTATTATTTGCAATTGATTTGGTAGAATGAAATCAAATATCTAAAGCCAATCCTTCTCCATATGCAACACGAAGAACGCGGCCATGCGTTCTTTCCTAACGAGAATAAAATGAATCATTTGAAATGCACATTTATAGCGGGCCTCAGTTCAACGTAAGTCTTGAGACGTACACCTCAATCTTTTTAAAATAATGGTAGTAAGAGTCAACAATATGCAAGGCAAGTAGTAGAAAAGTGAGAAGCAATACACTAGATGGCGAGAAAAGAAGAGCGCAAAACAGAAGTAACATGAGTGATGGAGCATAGGGTAGCAAAAGCTTCAAGACTATAGCAAACAACAACTTGAGATTGTAACATATAATGGAAGAGGCGATCACAGAGAAGCAATAAAGAACAATATAATGGATATTAGAAGCAACAAGTAACTTCCACGTCAATAGAGTTTTCAATTTGACAAATTTAGCATTTTATATCGGCAAATTAATATGGGCAAAGTTGATGTTTTTTCCATGTGTGATTAGTATCTTAGATCTATTATACAAACAAATAGAGATATCAATGAGAAAATAAATTCTAGAAATAAGACAGGATACTTAAAGAGGAAAATTCTTGAAGGTAATTATGTGAAAGAAGATATCATGGATATTTAACTGTAAATTCTATAAAATCACAATTACGCTGGCGACCACGTATGGATTTGAGTTTTAGGGTAGTAAAAAAGTCAAATAGATATGTAACTTGTGTATGAAAACAAGAGAAAACGAAGATGAATGTGTGACAAAAAAAAATATTAATTATGTATATTAAAGGAATGGCTATCGTGATTTATTAAAGATAGGATACTTGAAACTAGAACTAGGTGATTTAGACATGTACAAAACAGACAAGAAGTACACCTATTTGGGGAATAGATAGAATTACTGTCAAATGATTAGAATAGAGAGGGGTGCACCTTAGGTATTATGGATTAAGTTGTTCAAAATAATTTATGAAGAATGCGTTTAAAATCTCAAATAATACTTACACAAATAAATAAAAAATGAGCGTTCAAAAAGCCGATCTCAAAAAGTTTTGATAGGACAATCATGATAATAATGACTTTGAGCTGCAAGCCATACAAATTTGATATATCTATAAAATGGACTATAACAGTCTCTTTAAAGAAACATAAAACCAAATAGTTTAAGAAATAGTTCTGATGAATGATATAACTTTGTATTCAGTCAAATAGACAGAATTAAAATTGGTATGTTTTAATCAAGATAATTATCATATTATATCCTTCAAAACATTGAAAGAATTTTACCTTCTTCGAAAATTCTTTTTCCAAATTTTAAAACAATAAAATAATCACCAAAAACAATAAATGTCAATATGGTTATTCATTATTGATAAAATATCACATAATCAATAAATGCTATTGCTAAAAATATATTTTTACTCGATTGATTTAACCATTTCAACGGTCATAGTTTCTTGGTATCATAGACAAGGATAGATATAACTCTAATAAAGGTTTAGATTCATTAAATTTGGGTTTGAACTCTTACTCAACTATAGGGTGAAGTACATAAATATGCTCTAGCTTGAACTCAAATGCAAATAGTGCAGATTGGAATTTAACAATATAAATGTTGCATCAGATTGCAACTATAAATCTTTATTTTTTTTTTTGGGCATCCAATTCATCATTAAAAGAATATTTATAAGTTACAGTGTCTTCAATACAATCAAATTGGACCATAAATATTGTGTCAATGTCAAGCTTTATAAGATATTTTAATAATTTTTCCTCAAAATAATAAGACAAACGTAAAGTTTCTATCAGAAGAATACTTGCAATATTTCAGACTCTAAAACTCTGTGCAAAGCTTGTGAAGTTAATGCCATAATAAATAAATAGAACTTATAAGGCAACTTGCTGAATGAAGTCACAAAACATTAGAAAACACAATAGGTCAAGAAGTTTTCGATTCTAGCACGTTTCTAAGAATTAGGAAAATAGGTTAACAAGATAAATAAAATCAAGAACAAACCAGCAAACTAGAAAGAGGATTCATCTTAAGCTCAATACTAAGAATCATAAAAATGATATCCCTACCTTTTCATCTTATTAATAATTGGGGTTACAAACATACCACCCAAAACCTTCTATTTTACCTACCAAACACCCCAAACTTTAATAATAAAAAAACACCACCCTAAACTTCTTCCCTCTCCAAAACTACCACTCTGCAATCCAGCCGCTAGCTTCGTCGCCTTCACAACTATTGGCGATCTTAAAGATGAGATTAAAGATCCTAAGCAACAGTGATAGGACAGGTTTAGCAGAAAAGCCACATCTTGACCGAACAAAGAAGCCACATTGTGACCAGAGACAAGAGGCATTATGTGGAACTGATAATGGAGTTGGAGGCTAGAGGGGTGAAGGAGATTACTTATATTTGTCGGCGGGCTGGATTTCTTAGGGTCGGCGGAGAGGTATTTGGTTAATGCGGCAAATAACGAGCCATTCAACACAGTGGTTTTGCTGATGGTATTCACGAGGGTCAGAGGTCCGGCGAGGCAGGATCATTCGAGGGTGATCGAGGCGTTGAAGAAGCTCGATGAGTTGTACCTAGTGATGATGCCATTGGTGTTCAAGGCAACGGAGGAGTGGCTTAATAGTATGTTGGATTTGTCGATTTAAGCTGCTTTGCAAGTGGCATTGCCAGAGCTCAATGGCGGGAGATGGTCTTCGAGATGGCGAAGCAAACAGAGAATTACAAGTGGTAGATTTGGAGAAGGGGGAAGTTTAGGATGGTATTGTATTATTAAATTTTGGGGTGTTAAGTAGGTAAAGTAAAAGATTTTGGGTAGCATGCATGTAAATCCCCTTTAATAATAGCATTCAGCTATAGCACAACCTTACATTAATCTCCTTGAATCTTTCCTCTATACGATGCGTTGAATAATGTAGCAGTATCGTGTAAAGAAGCCACATGAATGTTTTTATTATTATTATTCTTTTGTTTTGAGCCACATGAATGTGCAACTAAGTAAATGTTAATACAGACAAGCAAAAATCCTTAAAGGAGCAAGAACATAAAGAAGGAATTGCATACACCATTCAATTCCTGTGTATTTACATATCTGACACCTACACTTTAATTTTTACATATATACTGTCTTGCATATGCATGAAGAGGTGTATTTCACTTTTTAAAAGTTAAAATAGTGGTATATTTTATGTGATATGAAATATTTGGATGGTATAAATGTAAAAAATTAAAAGTTTAGTATCAGATATGTAAATAAATAAGAATTGGGTGGTATATATGTAAATGGCCCAAAAATAAAAGTGAACCATACCAAGTCAAAGCGACCAGGACGCAAAAGGGCAGCATCAATTGCATGGGGCCGATTTGTTGCAGCCAATACAATAATTCCCTGTACAATAACCATTTTCGTTTCAAATCCAAAAGTTTGCCAAGTAGAGTTGGCAGAGTTGAAAGAACACACAAGATATTAAGTACCATGGAGCTGAGTTATACCGTAGCCAATTCCAGACCGTCCATTTCTGTCAACAGAGTTGAAAGAAGTCTTTCACCAATCGTGACGTTACCACTTGAATTCCCATCATGACTTCCACTGAGAACATAAGAACACACAAGATATTAAGTAGAATGATTTTATTGAAAAAAAAAACATAAATAAAAGTATGCTATAACCATCTGAAAATGAACAAGAAATAAATGCAACTATCAGCATTCATACAAATACTCCTAACAATAGTGGCTTTATAAATGCCAAACAGGCTTAGCAAGTCTATAGTTGCAATGACTGCAGAAAAATAACTCGCCACTTGTTACATGGCCACATAAAAAGACAAATTCAAATATGGGACATTCTATTTACTTATCATTGTTGAATGAGCAACAGTTTAACAGAAACTCGGGATGCCGAAGATCAAAGAAGAAAAAGTTGACTGATAAAAAAAAAATGCTGAACAAATTATCATTAAATCCAAAGGGGAGACAAATCTCCAGAAACATGATATGAAACTGGCAGCTAAAACCCAAATGAAAATCATACGCATCTGGTAACAAATTCATTAAAAATGTTGCATAAGTACAGCACATGAACAACGATGGACATGTGCAGCAGTTTTAGACCATCACCGTTTAGGAGCAATAGCATCAGCTTCATCAAAGAACAAAATACTTGGTGCGGCTAAACGAGCTTTCAGAAATGTCCTGCGTAATAATGCTTCACCTTCACCAACATACTTGGAATATAACTCAGCCCCACTGCATATGTAAGGAAATAAGTCACTCAAATAAGCTACTTGATGGACTTTACGTTTAAGGTAAAGCAAAAAAGTTGAAGCATGACAGCATTTATGAGAATAGTGTCAAAACAGTCCCTTAACTATCTACATGGGCCATTTTAGTCCCATAGTCTACAAAAATGCCAAATTAGCCTTCAAACTCTTTTAATATTGGCTAATGTAGTCTACAGGGAGAACTATATTAGCCCCTTTTAAAAGATCTTGGGGTCTAAATTGACACTTTCCAAAACTGGGACTAAAAAGACACCCGACAAAGACTTCAGGGACCATTTTGACAATTTTCTCCTTCTTATGAACTTGACAATATACTCCATACGACAATGCACAAACAAATAAATGTTAAGTTACTAGTCCAATGAGCTCCTATTAGGAAGAAAGAAAAAATCATCATGATTATCGGATATCACGTCGAACGGCATTCATCATAAAGAATTAGAAGTTAGTAAGAAGGAATATTGGAGTTGCAAACATATAAAAACAAATAAATGTGCAAAATAGGAGAGGTAAGAAAAAAGTAAAGTGGTAGCTCGCATGCAAAAAAGATTGTAGGATGATCAAAATTTTCAAGGTCCATTTTGCTATGTATCTTGTGGTTTAGTTTGTAGCTCAAAGCTGCACCATCCCACTTTAGCGCATGAAAAGGTGGTCATTTGACAACGGACCTCTAAAGAGCGGTGTATGCAGCTGGACACATTTGAAAACTTCACTGCTTGTCTTACTAATTTCTACCTCATTAGGTAATGAGTTTTCTTTTTTTTTTTTTTTTTGATACAACAGAAATTGCATCAGGAAAGACCAAAATACCTTGGAAAATAAAACAAATAACAAAAAAAATGAGGGTGAACAAAATCAAAGGGCTCAGCTGAAATAACAATAAAATAGTAGCAATCAAAGCGGAAGTGGAGCTGCAAGTACATGAACTGAGAAGAAGGAACCGGCAGATAATGACAAATAACCAAAAGGAATTCTGCTACAAAACACCTAAAGAGAAGCCTGATAGGAACAAAACAAACATTAGCAGAAATTAAAACAGAAATAATAGATTCTATTCCGCCGGAGCCCAATTAAAGCGATATAATCCGAATACATAAAAGATAAACACCGACAATTCGAAAGGCAGACGATATCTCCCAAACCCTAACTCTAAGATTCAAGACAAAAATCACATATAACCTAACCCTAAATATATTAAGCCCTATTTATACCTATTTATACCCCACAATTAATGACTAAAAAATTCTAAATTACCCTATCTAACATAAGTTATCAGAATATTTGGCGAACAACGTTATTGGGACCAATCTAACATTACTTCCCTCCTATAAAGACACATTATCCTCAGGATGGAAGAGCGAAAATTGTTGTTGGATCAAGTCGTATGAATCCCATGTGGTCGTATAATCTGAAAGTCCTTTTCATTTAATCAGCACTTCTTTCCCACAAATTGATTCCTTGCGCACACCTTTTAACTCAAGTGGCTCCAAAAGAACTTTCATATCATCATCCTCTCCTCAAAAGTGTCTGATGCATAAAATATAATTTATTGGTGTAACCATGTTCTTGTTGTACATAATTAATCCCAAGATTATTTGATCAATTGTAGCGTCATTAGTGACTCCCACTGAACGACATCAACAACTGCATTACATATTGGACATGTCCATAGATGTTATAGCATGTCCCTTGCTAGAATTCTTCCAAAATCAGCATTTGCATACTTGTAGTTCCATGGAAGTAAGGTCTCCTGATGCTTGAAGTGGAGACCTAGGAGCTCTTTATGTAAAATACTTGAAAACGTGCTTCATACTATAAACCCAATCCATGTTAAGATGTTCTGACACCATAGTCATCTACTCTCCATTGGCAAAACACAAAAATATCTCATTTTCTATTGCCAACTACATTGTATTCCCCAAAATTATCATCTAAGATACTACCATCACTTCCACTAAGAACAATAATGAAATTTTTTTGGATCATTGCAAATTGTTGTCAATGAGTCTTTTAAGTTTATGTAAAGCTTAAGCTCCATTTCCTTAATTTGATTGCCCCCCTCTTCTGCTAGAAAATTCAACCAGCTATGTTAATGTTGAATTGAAACCTTATTAGCAGCAATAGGGGCGCACACTGATAGGAGAATCCCTCAGTCTCGGGGTTATTGCATGATAGTGTTCCCTTTGAGGCGCCAATCATCGTAGCAACTAGAAAACTTTTGCAGATTGTTGGAATCGTTGGATTGGTGCCAGAATCCCTGCCAGTTGTGTTATATGTCTCTTCCATTTTATGTAACTAGATTAAGAATCTCAACTCTGCTTCTTGTATTGCTCTAATCATGGTCTTGAGTGTCACCAAGGTTTTGCACAAACTAGAGTAATCGTAAAGCACCACCATCTTGTCTCCATTCTAGAACTCAATGTCAGGAGTTTCCAATTCATCTTAGCTTCCCCTAAAGACTGCAACTATTTCATACACAATATCATACCAAAACTCAATAAATCCAAGGGAATAAAATCCTTCATCACCTGAATACCTTTCAGTGTTAAATCACCCCTTTATAAACTCCCATACTCTTATCCACTTGTATTGTTCCCATTATTACTCCAAAACTTCTTATACCGACCATCTCAAGCCCCAATTGCTTCACTACTTGAGTAGAGATGAGTTTGTGGGAGGCCCCACTATCTACCAACACCATTTATCCTACTCTCAGTTGTGTCCCCAAAGTTTCATAGCATGGTTTCATGTTAACCACACCACTGAGTTCAAAGAGATTTTTGTCACATCCAAGAGAGAGTGTTCCTCCTCTTCCATCACAATCTCCTATATTTCTTTATCCCATGCATCCTCCTCATCATATACTGTGAGAACCTATAAGGTTTGATCCTTGCAACAGTTTCCTAGGGCAAAGTTCTTGTGACACTAAAAACATAATCCATTCGCTCGCTTCTCCTAAATCTGTCTTTGTAAAGCATTTCAACGTTGCCCTCGGTCGTGGCCCATTATTCCTAGTCCCGTGGAGCCTCCCATGAAATCCCATTGCTTGAGTTTTTGGTATCGTTGTCAATATATCATTTTGGTAGGGCACTCCACGTATGTTGCTCTTATTAGTCAATTTCATTGCATTTTTATCTTCAACCAACTACGCTAATTCCACAATTTGCCCCATTCATCGTGTTCTCAACAGGCGAAGTGCAACTCAAATCTCTGACTCAACCATTTTATGAAGTTTTCTTCCAACACTATTTTTGATATCTCTCTCAAACGGCTAGATAGCATATCCTAAATTTTCCCTATAATCCATGACAGACCCTTCCTGAACCAAAGCGAAAAAATTGCTCGTGTAGATCCCCTTCCCACTTGGTTTTGAAGTGCTTCAACATTCGTTTTTTAAATTCTTCACATGTTCTGATTGGTTGAGGTTCTCTCCATTGATACCATGCTAGAGCCCTCACTTTCAAACACCGGGCCACTGCCATCAATTTTCTTCCTCCGTCAGCCATTAATAGCATAATATCTCTTCATGCAATAAACTCAACCATAGGCATCATCTCTTTCAAAGATCAACATTTTCAGCTTCCTTATGCGTGAGTGCCCTCCCCAATTTTCTTGACAGAAGTTCATTTCACCCATGAACTGGGTAACCCATACTGATTTCCCTTCTTTCATAAGTGTAGCCCGCCCCATCATCAGCTCGTCTATCTCTATAAGCTCTTGAATCGCCTTCTGCCCTGAAAATTGCCGCAGCAAAAATTACTTACACGATTGGATGCAACCTCATTTGAGGTTCCACCAACCGTAGTTCCCTGTTCTAGGCCGAAATCCTTCGAATTGATCTTCTCCAGTTCTGAACCGCATGTCTTCCCACTCCGCCTATTGCCGCTCGTTTTAGCCATCTAGATGTAACGTTATTCCTTTCAAATGCTGCCTCTTAGAGTCTGCTCTCAATTCCTTCGCTTGATCCCACGGCTCCAGATCTTCCTAAGGTTGCGACATTGCCCTAATGTCACGTGAATCCTTCTAATTACTACCACTAGTGTCCGCTCCAGACACCGTTCTTGATCCAGTGGCAAACAATGGTGGGTTTGCGTGAAACTCTATGATTTTTTTCATCATTTCTTTCAGGATTGTGAACCTCCCACTATGGATAAAAACCAACCCTCCATAGAAAGAAAAGGTCCTCCATTTCACATCTGATTTGACTCAACTCTTCCTCCAATTTCTCCTCCAGAACATTTATTTTTTTGGTCGTCATTACTCCCATAATGGTTTTTTGTATCACTAATGTGGAATTTTTGTACATCGTGATCTCAACACTGGCTTCTTAGCTAGCTTGAATCGTGATTGTAGGCGACCCACAATCTCGTCATTGGCTTCCCAGCTAGTTTGAATTGCGATAGCATCAAGATTTCCTCACGACTATGACCCGTTATCTGTCAGTGGCTTCTTAGCTAGCTAGAATCGCGATTGTATCATGAGATTCGGTCATGAAGTCGACCCGCGACCACGTGGTTGGCTTTCCACTAGCTTGAATCGTGATTGTATCACGAGGTTTTGCCACATATGCGACCCGCGATCCCGTCATTGGCTTTCCAACTAACTTGAATCGCAATCGTATAGCATGGTTCGGTCGCGAAAGCGACACAACGACAATTTCAAAATGATATGAGATGGAGCAGCGGCCTCAAATGCAACGACAAAGATTTCTAGCAGAGCGGGGATTAGGACCTTGAATTTTCTGATAACAATTAGATAGGAACGAGACAAATTTCTGCATAAATTAAGGCAGAAAAAAATAAATTTTATTCCGTAGGTACCAACTCGAAACACTACAGTACCGAATACATAAAAAATAAACATAGGCAATTCAAGGGGTAGGCGAATCTCCCAAATCCTAACCCTAAGATTCAAAACAACAATCACACATAACCTAGTCATAAGTCTAGTCATAAGTATAAGTATATTAAGGCCTATTTATAACACACAATAATAACTAACAAATGATTAAATTGACCTTTTAGTCTTTGCACCTAATAAGTTTTCAAATTATTTGGCGGACGGCGCCACAGGCACTAGTCTAACAAAGCCCTACGGTGCTGAATTAGCCAATAAACCAACTCAGCAGCAAAGCACCAACCTAGGTCCCAATTCTCCAAAGTTGCATCAGGTTTGAAAGGCTGCATCATTGCCCTCAAAAATTGTAAACTATAGCAATCCCAATGAGAATGCGATAGCATGTTTCAGGTCCCAAAGGAAAATGCCATCCAGCACCCCAAGAGGAGCATTCAGAAATAAAGAAGCTAAGATGTTAAAGATAAGCCATAAAAATATCTTCCCAAATTTGATTCCTTTTCCAATTCCAGAATTTAGCACGTATGGAAGTTTTAATCTTGAAGAGAACGGTTGTAATGCTGCTAAAATAATTGCAAAATCTCCTCGCATTCCTTTCCTTCAAGGAAATGATAGATATGTTATAAAATTTTTTTGCAGTTTAGATATGCCCTCCATAGCAGTAATGTGATCTAGAATTTGTATAGAAGGACTTGGAAGAAAGGTCACTGACCAAGGCAGCCAACCCTCAAAGTTAGCATTGGAGAACGAGTGACTGAAATATAAATGATTTATAGTTTCTTTTTCAACATTGCAGAGAAAAGAGTTGCAAGAAATATTCTTGCCAAAAAGATCAACAGAAGTATTCAAAGCCCCTTGGACAGACATCCAAGTGTAAATAAATATCTAAAAGCATAGTTTTATGCCAAATGCAATTAGCCCAGGTCATAATAGAGTTACCAGAAAAGCAGTCCTCACAAATCATGGCAAAAGACGGATTTTCCATGCCTTTTGAAGCGTCTGGCCAATTATGAATAGAAAGATCTTCAAAAGTACTGAAAAAGGGTAAGTGAAGGCCTGCACTGATGGATTCCCCATTATTAGAGTTAATAAGCAAATTAAAAGGAGCATTAGGAGGGCATAGAAGTTAGTGAAAAGCATTAGAGTCCAATAGTTCCCATAAACATTTCTCTTTGAACCAGGGAACCCAAAGGAGCATAATGCTGGAGTCATCCCCAATGAAAAATGACTAATGTGGTTTAGCCATGTTGACAATATTTCTCAGATTTTTTTTTTAAAAAAAAGAGCTATTTTTGCATTGAGTATTCCAAAAGGAGAAATAATAGCCACAGAATAATTAGCAACCAGAAAGTGGGCTTAACATATGTTAAGAACGACCCAAAGGAAAGGGTATGAATATGAAAATGACTAGACCCCTTAGCTCCTAGGCATGCAATTTTTGTGCCATAAAATCGTACGAAGTTCTATTTTTGAGATGCTGCCATGAAGAAGAAATTTAAGGCACCGGGCATTGATGATTTTAATACAACTTTTGGGAAGAAAAGAAGCTTTGACCCAATACATAAGATGGTTGGTGTTAGGTATGGCTCATATACTAGATAAGGGACAGATGCTGAAGCGGAACAGAGCGAGCCAGCGAAGCGGAGTAGAGTGAAAGCATCTGTCCAACTAGAGGAGTTTTTCATTATGTGGGTTAGGGGTGCGAGGGCAACGCCCCGTGGTAAGGTACAGGGGTAACTTTGTAATTACATATTGTACTCCAGGGTTTTATATATATATATATATATATATATATATGCTTGTTTACCCGGTTTTCTTGCTTATTTACTTTGGTACTCTTTTTTTGTGAAATCTAAAGGTTTGTGAAATCTAAAGAAACTGCCGCTCTGCTCCCGAGGATGTAGGCAAGTTGTCGAATCTCGTTAAATCTCTGTGTTTTACTCTTGATTTGTGTCTATTCTTGCGTTTATCTTTGCCTAATTTCTCAATAGTTGGAAGGCTAAAGGCCACTAAATAAGTTGAAACCTGTCAGCTAGTAAAAGGACCTTAGCCTTCCAACCAACAGGAATCAGACAAACTTCGTCAATCAAAGTTTCCAAGGATAAGAGCATATGTCTATAAGCAGATACCAGAATTCCCAGGTACGTGAAGGCAAAGAAAAAGCAAAACGAAGAAGTTCTTCAATGCTTGAATAGCTTGAGAGCATTTAGAAAAACTAATGAGGCCCTTGCAAGAGTTGATCATATGATTGGAAGCTTTGTGGAAAGTCTGAAGGACGTTATGGAGGCTATTCAGGTTTCGTTGGGAAGATTTACCAAATACAATGACTTCATCAGCATAAGATAAGATATGAAATGAGAGGACCTCCATCAAGATGCATAGGGTCGTATTCTGTTTTAGATATTCTCTGCTCAATAAGATTAGACAGCCCAACCATAATAATGCAAAAAAGAAGGGGGATATGAGGCAGCCTTGTCCTAGGCCAGGAGTTAAATGAAAAACAACAAAAAAAAAAAAACCCCAAAGTTCCATTCATGGATAGATACAGAAAAATTATTATTAGAGATACATGCCTTAACCCATGAGATAAAGAAGGGCGGGTGTGTATGAGTGTGGCGCATAACAGATTTGAAGGTTCTTTTGATGTTGAGCTTTTATAGGAATTAAACACCTCATTAGTTAACATAATATCATCAGTTACAGCCAAAAATTCAGTTTCGGCTTCATGAATAATGCAATGTAATGTATCTTTAATCAATTGGCCAGGATTTTAGCAACCACCTTGTGAAAGACATTGTATAAAGACATTGGCCTATAATCTGAGATGGGATGGAGAAGATTTAGGAATGAATGTAAAAACAATGGTTTGACGGAAGATGGAAGCTTCTTAGAGTGGAAGAAGTGTTTCATTGTTGCGCAAGCGTCCTCCCCAATAATCTTCCAAAAAAAGAAAAGAAACTGGAATGCGAAACCATCCAAGTAAGAAAAAGAATTTCTTGAGGCCATTAAAATGGTATGTTTAATTTCATCAGAAGAGATGGGGGCCGTAAGAGAAGGGAATAAGTGGGTTGGGATAAGGCCACCAGCTGGGATGAAGTCCTAGGATTCCTCTGGATCAGCACATGCATGAAAAAGATCTTTGAAATGGTTAACAGCAGCCATGCAGATAAGCTCCTGATCATGGAAAAGCCCTTCAGAAGTGGAAATATAATTGATACCAATAGAATTCCTTCCGCCCTTAATTTCAGAGAAAAAAATCTTTAGGTCATCCTCACCCTCATAAAACCATCTGGCTTTAGCCCTTCAAAAAAACCAAGAGGCATAGAGATAACTAAGAACATAAACCTTTTCAATGGTATCCTTCAGCATTGAGTTTAAGGTATTGTCCATCAGCTAGCTATCAAGGCATTGTAGAATCTGTTCTTGTTGCATGGTGGTAATGTAAATAACTTTCCTAAGAGAAAGATCTCTGACTTGCCATTAAAGCATTTCAGTCTAAGTTTAAATTTTTTAAGCTTGTGATGCATTTCAAAAATCTAATACATCACAGTTTGATTTGTGCAGAAAATGTGTTAGAAAAAGCACTATGCAGCACAACATCTTTTCATGATCACGTGCGGAATTTACTGAGAAAAGCCGTGATTTTTTTTAACATATCAAACAACATAGCATGGCATTACCAAATGAAGCCTTATCGCCCTACTTAAACATAACTTTTCAGCTGTTACAGAGGACAATTTTTGAAGCAAATATTGCCCTTTATAGGAATAACAACTCTCCATCAGTAAGCACAAATCACCATTAAATATTTGAATTTTATATTGAATGTAAATTAAAGCAAATTCTAGCATACTTACTATTCATTTCCATTTAACTATTTGTCTGAAACGCCTTTACTCCTAACAAGCATAAAAATTTTACATTTTTAATGAAAAACCTACCCTTTCAAGATTAATTTCTATTTCAGGGGGAACCTACCTCAAAGAAAAGAAGGAAGCTTGAGCAGCGTTAGCTGCCGCCTTAGCAAGGGAAGTCTTGGAGCACCCAGGAGGTCCATGTAAAAGAACACCACGTAATGGAGATATCCCCAACCGTGCAAATGCATGGGGATGCTTGATAGGCCATTCAACAGCCTGTTGAAGCTTTTTCTGTTGCACAGACAAGAGGATTTTGATAAGAAAATTTTAGTCATTTCAAATTTAAAAGGTGCAACAAAATTTCCGACCTTCAAATCTTTTAGCCCTCCAATTTCATCCCATGAAACCTTAGAATATTCTTTTGTAACACCTCTTGTGATACTCGGACCCACTTCAGATTTTGCATCCTCCCAATCTTCCATTTTTAGTGAAACTACCTCGCCAGTTATAGCCCGATTTGATGCCCTGCGGTATGCCAGCCTAGCAGCTTCACGGCATAATGCCTCCAAATCTGCACCAACGTATCCATTGCAGGATTGAGCAATTACTTGTAGGTCAACCTTCTGATCTATTTTTAGATTCCTTGAATAGAGCTGGAACATATTGAAGAAAAAAAATTACAAAACAATGAGAACAAGGAGAGCATTTAAATTGCAAAAAAGCATAAACATATGCCTTAACCGCATCCCCACTTTGTGCCATGATGATGTAGGACAATCAAAGGTAGGGGTTTCCTAAAGCAACTAGAATAACGTGATATATAGACATGCCCAAGTCTTTTTAGGTCCACCTCTACCTTTCTTAACATAAGTTGAATCCAAAACCAAATGATAAAATAATGGAGTAAATCAAAGAAATCAATAGCAAATTTGCACCATATAAACAAATAACAATTTATAATGTAATCACTACAAATAATTTTTCAGTAGTATCAATTTTGAACAAACTCGTACTAGCAAGCAAAGAACAAAATGTGTACAAGAAATCAAAATTCAAGCTTCACACCGATATAAGGAGAAGATCCCCTGTTTAATTTACGAGGCCATATTTATATCACTCTCAAAGGAATCACAAATCAAATTTGCACTGATAAGATTGAAAGCTGGAATATAAATTTTAATTCAATCAAAAACTGGAAAATTACATGCTGCAGAGTATCTATTCACAGACCACTCATCCGTAAGCTATTACATATGATTGGCACAAGGACAGCACAAATTGATTCCAGATAACCTTCAAAAAGTTCATAATTCAACCTTATCAAAAAATCAATATTTTAAGTAGCCATGCATCCATGATACAAAACCCTAAGAATTTTTATAAACAATAGCACAAGCATGATTGAAAGAAAGTATTCCCATAAAAAGCAATAACCACAATAAGATACCATAGCATCATGGAGATTTCCATCTATAGCAGGCAAGAGAAGAGACGGTTATAGTTCCAAGGGAAAAAAACCACGGTTACACATCACTAACACACAAGAACTTCTCCTCCCAACACTCTAATTTGTTCTTATTTAAATTGCATGATGCTAATGAGCACGAAAGAAAAATGATTGATTTGTAATGAAATGAAATCAATTGTATCAAACCTCAAGAATCATTCGCCGTTCATCAGGAGTTGGAACGCTGACTTCAATTTCAGTATCAAAGCGCCCTGGTCTTCGCAAAGCAGGATCAATCGCATCAACCCTAACAATGCATTGTTTATGAACAATTTTCAATGTTCCTTTCTTTTGCATGAAACAACCAATAAAACTAAACCGAAGTAAGTAAATTTAACTTCATGGCTGGCCTCAGATCATTTTCAAGCAGGTTTACCTGTTAGTGGATGCTACCACAACAACATGTGGAAGGGATTTTGATGAAATTTTGCTTCCATCCATCAATGTTAGAAGTTGGCCAACTATCCGAGATTCATGTTCCTTCCTGAGTGATAGAGTTAGTGAAAGGGTTACAATGAGACAACTTGGTCTCTCCAAGAAAATGGCTACACACATTTATGCATCCACCCAAAAAAGGCATGTAAAAATTATACCGATTGTCACGGCGTGGACAAATAGCATCAATTTCATCTATGAAGATAACAGATGGCTTCCCTGATGATCCATAAGAATATGCTTCAGCAAAAGATTCTCGTAAAAACTTCTCACTTTCACCAACATGTGCTCTATGCATAGAAGATGTACTGGAAGAATATAGATAGTTAGACATTCAGAAAATTAAAAAGAACACATGAAACCTGGTGAATAAAAATGAACTCCTGGAATCAGCTTACCAGCCTATTACAAAAACATAAAAGACACATAAGTTTGTCATTGATTGAACGGATTACCTTATTGCAGTCAAATGTGCGCCACTCTCTAAAACCACAGCTTCCACTAAGCTTGTCTGGCACATAGCTGAGAATCAGATTAATGTATAAATTTTGGCACATTTATAAGTAAGGTTCATGCAGCTGCAATCATAATTGTAGTGAAGCCAAGAATTTAATCTCCAAAAATCCATGATTACATCACAGACAAGCTTGAGATTTATACATTTCATCCTGCAGTGGCTTCCTCAAACACGACCTTTTATTAAAAGTTATTTTCTCTGCTCATGATTCAGCAAACACAGTTATTATTCCAAAGCATGTATCAAAATTAAATAAGATAATCCAAACTAATTCATAAATTGCTCCCTACAAACTGTGGGAAACATTGATTCATAACAACATATTAGCAAATAGATTGCTAAAATTTATCTTTTCATGATAAATAAGCATAAATTTGTCGGCAGTAAACTCAAGTTACAACATCCTTTTCTACTTCTAACCAATCCATGCCATCCTCTGTATAAAACATAAAAATCCAACAATTTACAAAGGCTAGTCAGTTTGTCTGTGTGCAAACGCATTTAGGAGAATTGCATCAAGCAAACAACCTAAAATTATGTTATTTAAATTTTCTATTTTGGCTTGGTTAATATTTTTAGATAATCATTGTATTTTTGAATTTGTCAATCCCTAAAATCAAGAGATTTAGATAGATATTGGTAAATATCCAATTGGGTACACATAACCAAAAAAATCTAAGAAGAACAACTCAATCTCACAGCTGATAAATTATGTGGAAACTATAATTTCATACACTTCTAATAGGGTATGATCTTCTCAGATATATTAATGTAGAAACCCTATGACCACAATAAATTAATCAAGGTTATCAGTCGTTAGATTCACCGAGAACACCTCATTATGAAATCAAGAATTTGTTCACTTTCTCGATCCATGATCTTGATTAGTTCTAGGACTACCATTGCAAATGAGGCTTGGGACATTCTTGGCCCCACACCTATGTCAAACCACTCTTGTGGTGAGCTACTACAACCTTGAGGCAAAATGCACATACATCTAAAAGGTTGTCAAAGCATTGCTGAATAAACTTGCTCGTCAATCAACAACTGGTTGGGCTGATGAACGTGTTCTTCTTTGAAAATCAAGTGCAAAATACCTAAATGGCCTTGGCCCTGAATACAAGGATTTCCCCAGCCATTACCACCTAGGTCATTTTGATCTATTTCAAAAACTTACAAGAGAAAAATCTTCAATTTGATGTCAGCCAACATAAAATAGCAATTATATAATTTGAGCGCTTCAAACCCTACCTCATGAAAATTTAATTCACGCTAAGAGCATCAAGGTAAATAGTGACATCCCCAGTCTCTTCAGAAACCTTGTTAGTCTTGATCATCATCATCGCGATCGGACTTTCTCAAATCACAATGCAAAGCATCCCCATCATCAAGAGCTCAACTCATCTCCATATTATACATTCGTAATTGCCAAATATGTAGTTGCATCCAAGTTCTTTATGTTAGGTGCTTCCGACACCATGTCAATCTTCAGCCACAATACCAAAAGCACTCATATTCCCAGATCATGGGTAACCTTTGCAGCTCACGCCAAAAAGGCTTCCGACTGATACCCGAACTAATAGGAAAAACAGTGGAAACACAAAAAGTAAACTTTCATTAATATCGAAATAGGGTTACAATATGACACAAACGAGAAATAACACAAAATGACACAAGCAAACACCTCTCAAGTGTATTCCAAGAGTGATGAAGGTCGGCGAGGTCGGTCGGGATGGCTAGCGAGGGTGGTGGTAGCGAGGTGAAAAGTGCAAAATTGCAAAGATAGCAAATATGGAGGGTGGTCTAGGTGGTCGGCGGCAACCGGAGGGGTGGCTGGAAGGTGTTGGACAACAAGGGCAACGGTATTGGGGTGAGGAACTGTCGGTTAGGAATGCTAAGGAGGGAAGATGGTTGGACAGTAAGGTAAAGGTGCAGGTATGAGGCGGTTGAGTGCAAGAAATGAAGGAGGGGTGTGACCTAGCTTTGTCAAAGGGAGTAGGGTGATGTGCTTCACATAGTTGGTGAAGGAAAACGTGTTTCTATATCGATCGTGTTGAGTCCTTTGGTCAAACTGTCACGGTTGTCCCAACAAAAGGTGGTTGGCATCCATGGAAATCACTTCGCACCACACTTGGTCATGTAGCTGGTCTCAGATCGAAAACTCTACCAAGCATCTTCGGTTGATGTTAACTCAATTCTACTTCTTCAACCACCAAATACGGCTCGGAATGTCTTTGAGCCGCAAGTCTCAGTTTTTCTACCATTTGTGTCGATGTCATGCTTTTGCTGCTCCCGCTGTTGATGAGGAGGTTGCATACCTTCTGTTTATTGTGCAACGGGTATAGAATATGTTGTGGCGAATCCACTTCGGGTCCCTCGTGTCCTCGGTATTGTCTGCTGCCGCACCCATGAAATATTCTCTGGATTCTTCTTGCCTTCCCACCCCCTTCGTTTTGTGTAGAAATTTCCTTGAAGTCTAAAAATTATTGTCTTATGTGTCTGAGAGTCTGTTTTTCTGTGTTTATTTTCAGATCTCTTGTGTGAAGCTATTTTCCTTGTTTTGGGGCTATATACAAGGAGGTGGTGGTGCTCCAGCTATGTCCTACTCCGAGGTGGTGTGTATCATTTCCCTTTCATCTTCCCCAATCCGTCTCCACCCCTCTCCTTTGTTGTCGGCCTCTCCCCTCCTTAAGTTACTGCAATCAACCGCCCCTACCTACATTTTTACCTTGTTGTTCAGCCATTCTCCTTCCTTCCCAGCACCTTCTAGCCACCTCTCCCTTGTTATTCAGACATTCATCACCCCACTACCACTGCCCTTGCTGTCCAGCACCTTCTAGCCACCTCTCCGCCTGTCGTCGATCATCTACGACCCTCCATATTTGTTGTTTCTATAATTATGCACTTTTCGCCTCGCTGCCAAGACCCTCGCTAATCATCTCGATCTACCTCGCTGGCCTCCATCACCCATGGAATACACTGGGAGGTGATTGTTTGTGTCATTTTGTGTTTTGTGTTGTTATTTCCCATTTGTTTGTGTCATGTTGTAAATGTTGTAACCTATTTTAATATTCATGAAAGTTTGCTTTGTTGTGTTTTCACTATTTTTCCTACTAGTTCCGATCTCATTATGTATGAGAGCTAGCCCGACCCTAGTTTCATTCTAAGGTTTTTAGCATTTGCCCCATCCAAGTTACATCCACCCAATCTTTTCCTTCTAATCCCCAACCCTAATCATGCCACCATAGAGAGATGCATCTGACCCTACTCGGGAAGAGATCCAAAAAGAAATTCGTCGTCTGCAACGGAGACTAGTCGAGTTAGATGACGAGAACCAGGAAGAGATTACCTTCGACTGTGATCGGGAAAGTTGAGGGGAAGACAGAGACGATGATCTAAATCTGTTCCACTGAAAATATCACAGTGACGAGGAATATCTACCACGCCATTTTGATATCCAATATCAAAGGAGGCCAAATCAACGAGACTTTAACATCAAGACAAACCTCCTAGAATTTAAGGGAGGAAAGGATCTCGATGATTTTATCGACTAGCTGCAATTCTTCGAACCAATTTTTGAATATAAAGATATACCTTAAGACAAACGGGTCAAGCTAACTGCTATTAAACTAAAGAAAAATGACTCCTTATGGTGGGAAAATCTACAAAGGCAGAGAAGAAGATAAGGCAGTGAGAAAATCACTAAGTGGGAGAAGATGAAGAAGGAAATGCTGAAAAAGTACCTTCCACCCCACTATCATTAGGATATGTTTATGAAGTTCCACAACTTGCAATAAAGGGATCTTTCAGTGGAAGAGTTCACAGCCCAGTTCGATCACTTATAGCTAAAGTGCGAACTAATATAGTTAGAAGAACATACAATAGCTATATATCTTGGGGGATTGAAGTCTGCCATTAACAATGTGGTGCAACTGCAATTGTACTCGACGTTGGAAGATGTCCAAACATTAGGCCTTGAATGTGAAAAGACTGCAGAAGCAAAGGAAACAATAATTAGCCTTTGATGGAGGAATGTTCCATCATATTGTTGTTAATTTAGAAACATTCACTCAACACTCATCAGACACAAGATTTAAGGATATCATGTTCATAAATGGCTAGGGCCTCCCCATTACCCACATTATTTCCACTTCACTTCTAAGTCATCCTCATTGTAAAATCTTTAAGCATTTAGTTTCCTACAAACACATGGATTTGGCCAATCCAATGTCAGTTGTAATTCAGGTCAATGAAATAAAAGTCACATGTTTTCTTTTTCTGCATTTATAGTCACTCCTTAAGCAAGTAGGATTACCACTTAAATAATATCACATAATATGTTCACCAAATATATTTGCTTATATCCTCTTAAACATAAATCCCAGGCACGTTTAGTCATCGTCAAGTTTAAAGAAAATGTAAATGTTAAAAACTTCTTTCACCACAAATTTATCACCCTTTCCTCTAATAAAATCAGCAAGTACCAAGTTCTTCACCTCTTTTCCTCGTCGTTCCCCTAATAACCACGAATATAGTGGGTACTCCAAAAGTCATCATCGTTACATTGAAAAACTTAGGCTCACTTTGCTTGCACATGCCTCCCTCTAGTCTATTGATCGTATGTGTTTACCACCATTGTCAGCTTCATAAAATGCATGCCTGCTCCACTCTTTATCATCAACCATCCTTTGACTTTTTTTTGCCCATTCTCCCAACTACTCTAAACTTTAGCTATTTTGGTGCATTTGTTTATCCGTACTCCCCCTCCCACAGATTAGCTCCCATTTCCACTTTGTCTTCTTGGGTACTCTCTGGCACAGAGTTTATCATTGCATTGATTTCACCAACTCTAGAGTTTGTCTCTCCACATGTCAAATTTGTCGAAAACATCTTGACCTCGCATTTCTTACCTTGACTCTACCTCATCATGATCTTCACTTTAAATTCTTTATCCTTGGATGTCGTCTGGGTCCATGGGTCTCCACGCTTCAATG